GGCCCCCCCCCCCCCCCCCCCGCAGCAGCGCTCTGCCTGTGGGGGGTGCTGGCATCTCTGTACAGACAGCAGCACACTCCAGTGAGGGAGGGCGAGACGATCGAGGGGTCCCGTACCATGCGGAATCGACCCTATCCAGTGCTCAAGTGCTCAAGACAGCAGCTGCAAGTAGCATGCGTGCGATAATTTATGGTCGGCATCAAAATCAGTGGTCTCACCGGCGGGGCCTCCTACTGCCAACCGGGCGGTGCGGGGCACGCCAGTCTCTCTTCTACGCCTCTCGTGCCTCGCGGCGCCTCTGCTTCAAGGAGGGAAGATACGGCTCTCGCAGCCCATCATACGCCATAAGGGACCTGACAGTTTTGCCGCGACGGGCGCGCGCGCGTTTTCGAAAAAAGAAAAGGACGGGGGATGACAGCTCAGTCGATCGATTTGCGACAAGCGAGCGATCCGAGGATCGAGCGGGTGGGCGATAGGCTAGGGAGATCAGCGCTGATCGATCAACGTCAGCGAGACGCCCGAGTGAGTGGCTCATATACGCGCCTATGTGTGGTAGTACAAGATAGACTCACCATGGTCACAAGTCTTTTAGTAAAACGCCAGCACTCGACACGACGAAGGTGTATTGGGCTCGAAGGCGCGGTGAACACAACCGCCTCGAGCGTACCGCTCAAACACGAGCCGAGGGGGCGGGAGCGGGGGGGCGGCGGGAGGCGGGAGCTGGGTCCAGTGCGCTCTGCTGCTGGGGGGGTCCAGACCCCCCCCCCCCCCCCGGCAGCAGCGCTCTGCTGCTGGGGGGGTCGGGACCCCCCCCCCTAGCAGCAGGGACGGGCTTAGAAGTGCGGGGGGGGGGGTACCGAGCAATGTGCGGCCGCTCATGGCGCTACACAGACCTCTGGCTTGTTAAGTTGTTATTGAGAAAGAAGGAAATACCTCCTACCTATGGCGCTACACAGACCTTGAGCACTTGTCGATTCCGCATGTGGTACGGGACCCCTCGATCGTCTTGTCCTTGTTATTGATTTATTGAAGAAAATAGCCCGGGATACACAGACCTGGTTGTCGAGAAGAAAATACCTCCTATCGATCGCGCTGCGCGCTGGTCTATGTGAGAGGTTGAGGTGTGTGTGAGCCCTGGAGGCCCTGGGAATGGGGGGAGACTACCACAGGCCTAGAAAGCCCGCGCGCAGGGGGGTGGGACATTTGAGGCCGGTCATGGATGAGTGCGCGACACCCATGTTGCGAGCAGCGCACACACAAAAACGGCTTCTGGCCCTCCAAGCGTAACCGACAACCGCTCGCCCATGTCATGCGACGGTCGAGGCCGGTGCAGCAGGCTCCGATCGACGCGTCGGACGCTAGCGACGTCGACGATGACGCCGTAGAGAAGCCTAGCCGTGGCGCCGCGCAGCTGTGGCTCACAGGCCTAGCCGAGCACGTCGCGGACGAGCGCCGTGACGTCGCCGAGGATGGTGCAGACCAACCACTCGACATTCTTGAGCAGGCAGCAGGTGAAGTCGAAGATGCCGTGCAGCAGCGCCGCGATCTTGCAGAAGAGGCCGCGCAGGTCCACCAGGTCCCTCACCTCGCAGAGGATGGTGCCGACAAGCGCCGCGATCTTCTCGCCGATCGACGGCAGGTTGAGCTTCTGCAGGAAGCAGACGACGCCCGCGAGCACGTCCTGAACGAGCCGGCCGACGTTGGCGAGGATGCACTGCACGATCCTGAGCGTCTTGCCGACGAGGCCGCCGACGCCGCACAGCAGCGCCTTGACGGCGCAGAAGACCTCCTTCACCGTGCAGCCCACCTCCTTGGCGATGAACTCGAGGAAGCACCGGATCGGCTTCAGAATCTTCGCCACGGCGCAGCCGATCGCCTCGAGAAGCAGCTTGACCTGATCGAGCTCGTCCTGGACGACGCAGGCGACGCCCGAGAGGATGTCGCTGACGACGCCGTCGATGCCCGGCAGCAGCGCGCAGATCGCGGGGAAGATCTTGTTGACCTGCCCGAGGATCCAAGACACGCCGTGCAGGATGGCGCCCACCAGCTTGGAGACCTCGGTGAAGAGCCAGCAGAGGAAGGTGTCGATGCTGCCCAGCAGCTCCTCCACGAAGCAGCCGACCTTTTCCAGCAGGCCGTGCACGTAGCACAGCGCGTCGCCCACCACCTCCTTGACGAGCTCGAGCGTGTTGTGCACCACCTTGCCCGTCTTGCAGAGGACGCCGTTGACGAGCTCGCCGCTCTCGGTGAGAATCTCCCGGACGAGGCAGCCGACGCCCGCGAGCAGGAACTTGGTGAAGCAGAGCACCTCGCCCACGAGGCCCCAGATCCCGCGGAAGAGCTTGCGCAGGTCGACCAGGTTGGCGACGCTGCAGAGGATGGTGGAGAGGAGCTTCTCGATGCTGCAGAAGAGCCCCGCCGGCAGCACCTTCTTGAGGAGGCAGACGACGGCCTTCTTGACCCCATCCAGCAGGCAGCCCACGTTGGCGAGGATGTAGCTCACAATCTTGCTCGTCTCGCACGCGACGCCGTTCAGGATCATCCGGACCGCCGCGAAGACGTCGGACAGCGTGCAGCCGACGGCCTTGGCAACCATCTCGAGGAAGCCCTTGAGCTCGGTGAAGAGATCGCAGAGGAAGTTGCCGGAGACCTCGTGCAGGCAGAGCTTGAGCGCGCCCTTGCTGTCCACGCCCTTGCGCTGGATGTGGCCGAAGAGGCACAGCGCGCTCTGCTCGATGGCCGGAAACACCTTGCCGATGGCGCAGCCAATCTTGTCGACGGCGCCGAGGCAGTGGTGCGGGCCGCCGAGGATGGAGCAGAGCAGCTGCTCGATGTCGAGCAGGAGGTGGCAGAGGAAGCCCGAGACGCCGCCGAAGAGGCCCCGCAGGAAGATGGCGACCTCGCACAGGGCGTGCCTGACCAGGCGGAAGACGTCGCCCAGGACCTCCTTGACGAGGCCCATGGCGTCGCTGACAACCTTGCCCGTCGCAACGAGGACGCCATCCACGACCTTCTTCGTGTCGCAGAGGATGGTAAAGACGATCGACGCCACGTTCTGAAGCAGAAAGCGCACCGCCGAGAAGACCGTGCACAGGAGGTGCTCGATGTTCTCAAAGAGGCAGCGCAGGTCGACGAGGCTGGACACCTCGCGGAGAATGCCGCCCACGAGCGCCTCGATGCTGGCGAAGAGCTTGGTCGGAAGGATGCACTTGAGGAGCGCGACAACTCCCTTCTTGATCTCGGAGAGCAGCTCGCCGACATTCTTGAGGATGCACTCGACAATCTTGCCGATCGAGCCGGTCAGGTCCTCCACGCCGCCGAGCAGCGCCTGCACGGCCTGGTAGACTTCGTCGAGCGTGCAGCCAACCGTCGTCGCGATGTTGCTCAGGAAATGCTTGATGCCGTCGAAGAGGTGCCCCGTGGACAGCTCCTTGAGCAGGCAGGCGACGGCCTCGAGCGAGCCGCCCGCGGCGTCCACCACGGCCTTGAAGATGTGCTGGAGACCCTTGGCGAGGCCGGCCTCGCCCGGCAGGAGCTGGCAGATGGCGGGACCGATGGCATCGATCAGGCCGGCAAACTCCGCGAGCAGTGCAGGCTGCATCTCGATCTTGCCGCGAGGCACCTTCGCCGCGTCGTCGCTGATGTCTGCGGACGGCAGAGCGAGAGGAGCGAGCTTCTTGGGCGGCGACGCGCGCGCCTTTGCGATGTACTCCCTCGAGGGCGGCGGCATCAGCGGCGAGCCGGGGCTGTTCTTGCTGAAAAGCGGCATGGCTGCGAGGGTCGAAAGAGGGAGTGTGGCTGTTCCTGCCGCGCGAATTGCAGAGACCAACTCAGTCACGCTGTGATCTCCTTGCCCGTGTTGGGGTTCGTTTTGGTTGTCCCTGAGAGACTATGGAAAGAAGTTCACGTCATCACGGTTAAAACGGCTGTTAACGGTCGCGACGTGGTCAATATGTCGTGACAGCGGCTGCGAAACGACCGACAGCAGCAACGACAGCAGCAACGACAGCTGGTGACAGCTGGTTGGTTGGTTGGTGACTGACTGCTGGTGACAGCTGGTTGGTGACAGCTGGTGACAGCTGGTGACAGCTGGGGAAAGCCAGCTGCCAGGGAGGAGTGAAAGGCACCCAAGAACAGTGACAGCCATAGTGACAGTGACAGTGAAGCCAGTGAACGCCAGCGACAGGCGGTGACAATGTACCGTAGGGTACCGAACTTAAGGTAAGGTAGCTTGAGTTAGGGAGCCCTTTTCCTCTTACCGAACTCCTGTTGTAATGTACCTAACTCCTGCTACCCACCTCTCGGTCCAGCCGGACCGGCACACGGGCCACGCGGCCGGCACACCACTCTGAGGCATCGCTCCCTCCTACGCTACGACCTACGAGCACCACGCTCGAGTACGAGTGCCTACGCTACTAGATGCCCTACTCCTCCTCCTCCTCCCCCCCCCCC